TATATAGTTATATAGCCTAAAGGTATACTACGAGTAATTACTCTAGGGCGTACTCTAGAGCTTTATACGAGTTTAATCCGTAATATTACTTTCTTCCTCTCTCCGTACGACGCTAAGAAGCCGCTACTCCTAATAGAGACTAGTCGGGCGCCGAGTAGTATATAAAGTAAAACTCTTATCTCTACTTACTTTTATCCTACTTTTTCTTCTCTTATACTAATTATCGAGAAAGTTTTTATAAGTACTTATTTCTACTCCTATTACGTACGATTATTAGCCGTTACTAACCCTTAAACGCTCGTAGTCGATATAGTAAATAAGTAAGCGAACTAATCTATTCCCTCCTCTTTAATCCGCCCTCTATACTCTAAGCTCTAGGCCTTCCCGTTTAGTCGTACGTACTAATAGGAGAACGGAAAAGTTAAGATAATATAGTATTAGTAGTATAGGATACCGCTACGACTTAGCGTTAGTTAGAGTAGCTCGCGCTAACTTAAATCCCTATTTTCCTTACCTCCGGGTAATCGCTAGTACCGTACTACTATAATATCTCTTAACGAGCGGTCTTAGCTATACTAGAAACTAACGTACCTTTCGTACGAGGAGTAGTTATTCTAGTATAGGTCCGGTCGTATCGGCTATCGTATATTAACGTCTTACTTATTTAGAGCCGAAGTATCCTTTTCGGTCTTTATAACCGTTATAAGCGCTTAATACGTCTATTTCTAGAGTATCGACGTATTCTAGGATACTTCGGTAGTACGTACGGTAACTATAAGTAGCCGGACCGCGGTACTCGTTATTCGGAGCGCGATAAAGACGACGATAGTAGTATTATAGTACTATCGTCGAATTCGTCCGATAACGACGACGCTCCCCCCCCTACCCGTAAGGCTCTCCTTCCCCTCCCTCCTTCTTCTCGCTTCGGCGAGGTAGTTATAAAAAGGCCCGCCCCTTAGCGGTAGGTACGTACGATATTTTTTTATTCTCTTATCCTCGTATAGTACTTATATTAGTACTAGTATAATCCTAGTAGATAAGGAATATTCTCTATACTTAACTATAGCTTATACCTTAACGTAGCGGTTAGGCTTCGTCGTACGGCGACTAAATAAGCTAAATATATATAGTATAATTAGATATTTTATTACTCTTATAGTTCTTTCGTACGTACTCTCTCTTTACTTCCGTATAGTAATTAGGGAGCCGATTATCTCGCTATCGATTCGTACGTATCTAAAGCTACGATATCCTAGAGCGATAATTCCGATTCCTAGGTTAGTTCTATATATCCCGTCTATTTTACTAAGTACTACCTTTAAGACCCTCGACCTCTCTATACGAATTTATAGTAGATAATCCTTTTAATCTAGTATTCTTCTTCGTTCTATATAATAATAGAATTCGACTAAGTATCGTCGGTAACTTACGAAGGTAATAGATTCGTAGATACTATATATAGTAGGTTCGAATAGAATACGTTATAAATTCCTTTTAGCGTATTAAGATAATAGCTATACGATCTAATAACTTTAGTTACGATATACTTCGTATTCTTTTAATCGAGCTTCTTACTCTTTCGCGTCGTACGTATATTCCTTAAGTCGAGCTAGACCTTATCGCCTACTCGAAACTCTATTAACTATTATCTCGTACGATTTATAATTTCCTCTTACTCTTATTAAGTAACGACTATAGAAGTCTAAGCCTATTCTCTCGCCTTTTAGAGTTTTCGTATAATCTCTTCGCCCTATCGTATTAGGCTATTTCCTCTTTTATCTTCGCGGAGTTTATCTTATAGTTATACGAAGTCGATATTATATTCGTAAGATAGGAAGAAAAAGCTTATACTAGTCGATTAAGCGTTCCTATTATTAATTACTAACTTAGCGATTAGTAGTAACTCTACCTAATTATCTTAGGCTTCGTTTACGAACGTACGTACGTACGTCTCGATCGTCTAATTTATTCGTTTCGTAGATCCGTCCGTTTTAGGGTAATATATAGTAGATAATCGGTATACGATACTTAGTAGCTAATATATTCGTTTC